AAACTTATTAATTTTATTTTTTTAAGCTATTCCATAGAAGATAAAGTTATTAATAATATATATTCTAATATTTTTATTATTAAACTCTAAATAATTAGATAAAAATTATTTAATATTATTACTTTAAACGTTTATTCTTAAAACTATTTAATTTAAAATCGAATATATATATAAATATATTAATCTTAATATTTTAAAATTCTAGACGATAGATAATCTTAATATTAAATTCGAATAGTATATTTAAATAGATCTTTTCGATTAGTAGATTAATATTAATTAAAGAAAACTTTAATAGCTCTATTAGCTATATAGTAAAATTATTAAAATCTTTAATTATTTTATAAAAGAAAGATTTATTAATAGTTTAATTTAGTAATTATAATATTCATAATTTAAGTTCTAGAGAATTAAATTTAATTTTTACTTTATTAGTATATATAAAATAATAAGATAGAGCTAAGCTATAAAATCTTAAATTTATATATATAATTAATTATAAATTTATTAGATCTATACTCTTTAATTAGATCGACTAAATTACCGCGAGTAAATAAATTAATATTTATAATTATTAAAAAATCTTTTATCTTACTTTTAATCTCTTAATAACTTTACTATTTTCTATTTAAATTTTTAGATTTTTTTTTTAAATTATAGCTTATAACTTACAATTTTTAATATTAAAAAAATAAAATAATTTAGTTTTATAATTTTTCAAAGATATAAAATTTGAATATCGCTTATTAAAGTTCGCTCGGTAGTCTTAATTAAAAATATATATATATTATTTAATTTTAAAATAACATTTTTATTTTCTATTAAAAATTTTAATTCTTTTTTCAATTATAGAATATAATATAGGCTTTTAAAAAAGATTAGTCTTATAAATATTCAAAGATAAAGAATTTAAATATCGCTTTTTAAAGTTCGCTCGATAGCTTTAATTAAAATATATATATATATTATTTAATTTTAGAATACTATTTAATTTTCTATTAGAAAAATTTAATTCTTTTTTTAAATTATAGAATATAATATAGGCTTTTAGAAAAAAGAGAATTATAAGATTTAATCTTATAAATATTTTAAGATAAAGAATTTGAACATTACTTATTAAAAACTTATCTACCTTACGGGAGCTACTATATATGAGAATTTACTATTAATAGAAAATAGATAAGTTATTAGCGATAATAATACGATTTATATAATAAGGACTACACACCGGATATATTCAGATTTTACGTTCTATATAACGTATATCGAATAGAGTTATATAAAACTTTCTATCTATAGAGGATTCAGTCAAATTTATTATTAATGGATAGTTAATAGACAGTTAATGAAATACGAAAGAGATATCGATTTATTATTATTTCAATACTACGCTATAAAGTAATACATTAATATATTACTAGTAGAGAATTAATGAGTAGCGGTAATATATAAAAAAATTCGAAAATTTCTTTAAGTCCCACAGCCCTATAGAGCTATATATCTTACTTATATATTAAATTTCGAGAAAAATCGAAAAATCGAAAAATAAATCACGTGACGTTGATGAATCGGCTATTATAAGCGAAGCGAGATACCCGAACTAGTTTAAACCTTAATATATAATAAGGGAATCACTAAATAATCATCTATTTATTTCGAATATCGGATAATTTACTATTATAGAAAATTTAATATCAATGAAAAGTTAATTGAAAGTTAATTGAAAGTTATAAGAGATATCGAGTTAATAATATAGTCACGTGACATACCCTAATCGTATATTTCCTCTAAGGTACTTTATTAAGAATATCTTTTAATATAAACTCAGATAATTAAATAATAATAAATTTAATAAATTTCGAAACTATCTCGCTTCGTTCTCGATTCGAATTCGTAAATCTCTCTCACTAAACAATCTAAAAATTATAAAAATTATAAAATTCGTATAATCGTAAAATTCGTAAATTCGTAAATTCGTAAAATTTATAAAATTAATAAAAATTAAAAAATTGTAAAAATTAAAATAAAAGAAAATTATAAGTATAAACTATAATAGATATTAAAATTAACTTCTTATTAATTTAATTTAAATTAATTTAAAGTTAATTAACTCTTTATAAACTTATTATTAATATAACTTCTTTTATTTCTATTAAAATTCTTTAATTCTTTTTTTAAAATAATAGAATATAATTTATACTTTTAAATAATCTAAGAATTATGAAATTCGATCTTATATTTCTAAGTAAATCTTAAATTAAAATATTTTCACTCTTCGAGAGTCGAATTTAATCTCGAAATTAGATTTAAAAATTATTTACTTTTTATAAAATTAATTTATAGACCTTTACTTGTTATTTTATAATATAAATAAAAGTTTTAATAGCTTTAGAGACTTAAGAGTATAAATAATAAAATAATAAAATATAAATATTATTAAAGACTTTAATAGATTAAAATAGAAATATATTATATTAATGAAGTCGTTAATTTAAATAACTAATATAATTATTTTTTAATTAATATAAATATAAATAATATCGATATTAAAAAGATATTTTATTAGATTAAAATTACTTATTAGATTAATAAGATAATAAAGACTTTAATTAATAAATAAAAGAGCGTTAATAAAAGATTTTAATAGTAGAATAATTATAAAGAATTAAGTAAATAAAGGATTATTAGATAAATAAATAATAATAGAGAAACTTTTAAATTATTCGATAGTTAATTAATATTAAATAATAATATTACTATTATATTATAAGAGTAATATAAAAATATAAATATAATAAGTAGTATATAGTAAAGATAATTCTTCTTTCATTTAAAAGTTACTACTTATAATATAAGCTAAGAATTTTACTAAGATACTTTCTTAATAAGTATAAAATATAGCTAAAAGTATATATTTAGATAATCGCGATAGCTTACTATAATAAATTTATAGCTAAAATAAATAACTTTAATTTTTTTAATTAACTATTACTTAGTTAATAATAGATTAACATATATTAATTAAAACTTTTAACTAGATATATTATAGAATATATTTTATATTTTATACTCTTTAAAATATAGATTTTAATATCTTAATATAAATTAGATTATATTTTAATAAGAAGTAGACAATTTAATATTACGCCGGATTTATCGGATTTTAAAAAACTGCATATCCTAGTAAACTGTATTTCCTAGTGATAACAGATAAGTGTCCGAATATCAAAGAATCCTGAGTCGTGGAGAAAATAAAAAACCACTACACCATGATATTAGCGCCAATAGGAATCGAACTTATTACGAATTAAATATCCTCTAACCTCGATCGCAACTATAGGTGCGTACCCCCGGACGACAAGGACAACACTTCTACTACTGCATTTAAGCCAGACTAGATACAACTAGAATTTAACTCTACGACCTTCGGGGAAGATACAACGGCAATACTGTAGTATTGGCGCTGCCAGAAAACAGAAAACCACTACACCATTGTACCAGCGCCAATAGAAATCGAACCTATTACGAATTGGATACCCTATTACCTGGAGGGAGAGTACTCCGTAACGGCAACGAGAACGCACCTCGTCATTCTCATCCCTTGCATGTCGGAGTGTGGAATACAGAAATGTGTTTGAATTGTATCAGGGTCCGTTCAGCCTGCTGATGTCTCCATACATGCTTCAGCCCGAGTGATACAGATACCTATCCTCCCGTCTCTATCCTTCTGCTCTCTTTAAGTATGGCTCAGGACATTCACCGGTTGCTGCTTCAGACCGGCCAGCAATTGTACAATGGCCAACAACAAAAAGCATCTTTTTGCCACGGCATCTGGGTATGAAACTCTGAGACCCTGCCAGGAGTATCTATTCACACCTTTGACAGGACTCTCGAAAGGCTCGTTTTCATCCGTGTTTTTTTCCAATTCTATCTTCTCTTCCCGCTGTCATGGCAGTCTGCATTGTCGTTGGTCGCGGCCTTCAGCCTATTCTTCTAAATCGGCCCACATGGGCTACTGCTTTCGTAAAAGAAATCAGCCAGCCAGGGGGCATGATTAGCCCAGACCTAAAAAGGCACTCGGCACGTGGCGCGACCACCTTGCTTGTAATTTTCCTTGTTGGACTCGTGTTACACCTTCTGACAGTGTTTTACCCTCATCCCAATTCCATGGCGGTGGCTCCAGCGATATCTTGGGTAATCTACCTTCCGAAGATCAAGAATATTTTTGACACAAACATCAGGCCCTACTCGTCATTCTGGTTGCGATAGATCGGCCAAAAACTACTCCTTTTGGGGTACTCGCAATCGTGCTCGGCCTTGTGGCAACAGAGCTGACTTTATTTGTTGACGCTCGCTCTGTACTGCATGCTCAGGATATACCCGCAAGTCTTGAGTTACTTACTGGGCTCTCGGCCGTGATTGTCATTCTTTGCATGCCGTTACGACACCCAAATCTTTCAAAGGATCAAATTAGCCCACCATTCGGCCATCCGACGAGTGAACTTCGCAGTCCTGAGGACAACCTGACTCTATGGCAATTCATGACAGTCTCTTGGATGACGCCTCTCATCTCATTAGGCTCAGCCAGGCAGTTGAATGACGAAGACGTTTGGAGTCTTGCCTTTGAATTCCAACATAGTGTTCTGCATGACAGCTTCCGGGAGCTGAAAGGCTCCGTGGTGAGACGGCTTATCGTGGCTAATGGACTTGATCTGGTGATCATCTCTTCTCTAGCAGTGTTAGAGTCGCTGGCAAGTATGGAGGGCATTCATTACCCAACCCCGTGACGTCGGTGACTAACCTCTAGCTTAGACCTTTGCGCGCCTGTGCTGTTACAGCAGCTTCTTCGATCTATGGAAAGCTCTGGTACCCGTCATAGTGCTGCCATTACCTATGCGGTACTTTCACTGCTTGTCCGACTTATTGCAAGCCAGTCCTCTGTGTTCAACCTCTGGTTCAGTAGACGCTGCTATGAAAGGTCAAGGGGCGAGATGATCACGATGCTGTACGAGAAAACGTTATCCAGGAAGGTTATCGGTAGTCTCACGCAGCCGCGAGAAGTAGGAAGTCCCAACGGGACGAATGACGGCGGCCCCCCAATGGAGACAAAGCGACCCATATCTCAATTGGAGTCTATTTGGGAAGGTCTGTATAGGCCAATAAAAAGGTTGTTCAGTACAAAACATGAGCGTCCAAATGAGTCAAGAAAGCCGGCGTCAATGGGGAAGATTCTAAACATGATGCGGTATGCTTCTCTTGCAGTCCTCCTTTTCGCATCGCAACTAACATTGCGTTCAGCAACGACGTCTACGAAGTAGCTCAGAGGTACTGCCTGCGGTTCCGTTCTTAATTTACCTTGCAATTGACGTATATATATCCAGATTCTGGGAGTTCCAATCCCTTGTTACTAAACCCCTCGGTTTGGTGCTGTCCATTGTGTTGATATGGAGGCTGATCGGATGGCCATGCCTTTTTGGTGTATTGACCATCGTCCTAGCCCAAGCCATTAACATACTGATCACCAGAATCTTACTGCAACGGGAGAGAACAAGGAGAACAGCTACGGATAGTAAACTTCAGAAAGTCACCGAGTATGTTAGCGCGATTCGTCACCTACGATGGTATGGGTGGCAAGATATTTGGCAAGACCAGATCATGCAAGCAAGGCAGCAGGAATTAAACCTCCGTGTCATCACTAGTCTCTGGGGAGTCCTGATCAGTTTTACGAATAATCTAGGGAGTGGCATGTTCCCTGTTGCTGCTTTCTACGCCTATACAGTCCTGGCCGGCCAACCACTGCGTATAGACATCGCTTTTCCCGCTTTGCAATTGTTCGGTATGCTGGAAGGCAGCCTCCGCGAGATCCCAGGACTAATAACAGTCCTTTTGAACGCCAGAATTGCGGTCGGCCGTATAGAAGATTTCATGGAAGAGCCCAACAAAGACCACCCAATTACGCAAGAAGCCAAGCCGGAGCCCAAGTTGGAAAGTGCTTCATTTGCTTGGCCCGGCACCGGTCGTCCTGTGCTCCATGACATAAGCATTGCGTTCCCTGTTGGTCTGACCGTTATCACTGGTAAGGTCGGTGCAGGTAAAACAGCCTTACTACAGGCATTGATGGGCGAGCTCGACAATTTAGCTGGCTCGGTCGTCCAGTCCAAAGGGACAATAGGATACTGCGCCCAAACACCTTGGCTCCAGAGCATGAATATTAGAGAGAATATACTCTTTTCCTCTTTGCAAGAGGAAGTTCGCTACAAGCAAGTTCTGGAAGCTTGCGCGTTGAATCCAGATCTTGCGTCCTTCAAGGATGGTGACCGTTCAAACATTGGAGAAAACGGCATTGGACTATCTGGGGGGCAAAAAGCTCGAGTAGCGTTGGCAAGGGCGGTGTATAGTCGGGCAAATTTACTCCTGCTCGATGATCCGTTCTCGGCTCTAGACTATTTTACAGCTCAAATGGTTGTGCGAAAATGCTTTGGGGGCCCGTTGCTGGAAGGCAGGACCGTCATTCTGGTCACGCATCGCACAGAGTTATGTCATGGGATAGCACGGCAGCTCGTTGAGATGTCGGAAGGCAGAGCACATGTTCTCGACGAGATCGACTTTACGGGCCCAAGCATGCTGAGCAGAATTGGATCTTCTGAGTCGGCCAACAGCAGGGAAGGAAAATATAATACGGCGCAAGAAGCTGGTATGGTGCCTAATAAATTCATCGAGGAAGAACACAGGGCTCATGGAGGGGTCAAAGCCGCTGTCTATTGGGAATACCTCAAAGCGGGCAAAATCAAGTGGTGGGCTGTCTTGATCTCCATCCTAGCGCTTTATCGCCTCGTCACTGTTGGAGAAACTTGGTTCCTCAAAATGTGGGGTGAGGCCTTCGAGAGGAGTGGAAGTGAAAGCCGAGCCAGGTCCAGCCCCTTTCCAACACAGCCCTCACCGGAGACTAATGTAAGACCTTGGCTCATTGGATTCTTCATGATCGCTGCCATTCGATCGTGCTTGTTTCTGATCTCTCAGAGCTTCATGCTGGTCATCATCTATTCGGCTGGACGTCAGATGTTTAGAGAAATTATGCAGAGAGTCTCCAATGCAACGTTTCGATTCTACGACGTCACTCCTGTGGGCCGCTTGATGAATCGCCTTACCTCAGATGTTGGAACCGTCGAGTGAGTATTCATGTATCTGATTCCTGCCTACATGCTTCCCCCTAATTGCTTCTCCGATGTAAGTCGCAAGACGTACAAAGGTCCCCTCGGTCATTCTTCCCTCCTGCTCTGTCTTACACATCACACGGAAACCCTGCTGATTCCGAGTCTCACAGTGGGAACATCAGTCAACAATTCCAGAACGTGGCATTCCTTTCCATCACATGGGTCTCTTCCGTCATCATCATTGCGGGTGTTACGCCCATGTTCCTCGTATTATCTCTTCTTCTATCCCTCGCGTTTATACTGATATTCCTACGTTTTCTACCCACGTCTCAGAGCCTACGACGACTCGAGATGGTATCTTTGAGTCCATTGATGTCGAACTTTGGCGCGTTACTGGACGGTTTGACAACTGTCCGTGCCTTTTGTGCTCAAAGTGTTTTCCAAACCAGAGTGATTGCTGTAACGGATACATTCCAGAAGATGGACCATTTCTATTGGAGTTTGCAAGCATGGTTGATGTATCGCTTTGATGCTTTGTCGGCATGTGCAACGCTGCTTTTAACCTTACTCGCTATTTACACCGGTGTCTCGGCTGGTCTCACGGCATTCGTCTTAATTGCAGCCTCTCAGTTTGTCATGAGCACACACGCGCTATGTAGGCAATACGGACAGCTTCAGATGGACTTTGTCTCCGTGGAAAGGGTTGTTGAGCTGTTACATTTAGAGCAGGAACCCGCAGGAACAGTCGATCCGCCAGCTTGGTGGCCCTCATACGCGGGCGACATTGTTTTTGAAGATGTTACAATCCGCTACGCTCCACATCTTTCTCCATCCCTATCTTCCATATCTTTCTGCATTCCAGGGGGATCTACTACGGCGCTTCTTGGACGGACAGGATCTGGCAAAAGTACCCTATCACTTGCGCTGTTAGCCACGATTCTGCCCGAATCTGGCCGCATTCTCATAGATGGGATCGACATCTCGAAAGTTGACAAGCAGGCTTTGCGAAGCCGCGTAACGTTCTTAGCACAAGACCCAATTCTCTTCCCAGGCTCCATGCGACATAATCTTGATCCTCTAAATGATTACTCTAACGACGCCTGCGAAGCCGTCCTTGATCGTATATGCGGCACCCATCAATGGAGGTTGGACACCGAGATTGAGGCTGGCGGTCAAAATCTAAGCCAAGGACAGAGGCAGCTAATCGGGTTGGCCCGTGCTGTGCTAAGGAGGAGCTCGATTGTCATGCTTGATGAGGTGCGTGATGTGCCTTGCCGCTGCGCGTTCCTTGCTCGGTAACTACGTAGCCCGGGGAAGAATGGAAGCTCACTATAGGCGTTAGGCAACGGCGTCGATCGATGTGGAAACTGCAATCCACATACAGCATGTACTTCGTGAAGAATTAAGAGAAAGCACGGTCATTACCATTGCACATCGGTTGGAGGCGGTGAAGAATGCGGATCACTATATCGTGCTCAAGAATGGCCGGGTTTCTGCGCAGGGGTCGACAACGGCCGAAATGATGGAAGCAGGACTGGGTGATCTTGCGGAGAGTGGAGGTTGAGGATGATTCATTGCTTGGGGATGAATACAGATACGGTCTTCACGCCCTTCGGTCCTATGACTGAGCCTAATCATCTATCCCTTGGTCGGTTTTCAAGGTCAACCTAAAACTGTCAGGACCGGTACAGATGCAATATCAATGTAGGTGGATTGGATAAGATAACTAAAGTATTAAATCATATGGGTAGAAGGGAGATATTAAGTAATAGATAAATATCTTTATTAAGATAAGCTTATAATACTATTCTCTCTCTCGTATAAAATTATATTTCTATAATTAATATCTAGAAAAATAGATAGATATTATATTTATATTTATATTTATCGCTTATATTTATCGCTTAAAAAAATCGCTTAAAAGAACTTAAAAAACTTAAAAGAATTTAAAAAACTTCTTAAATGTTACGAATTAATTCTTTATACTCGATATATCTTTCTAGTTAAATCTTAGCGCGTCTCTTTTTATATATATCTATTCTACGAATATATAGATAATTAATATCTTTTATATTATATATATATATAAGTTAAATTATAATAATTTCTTAATAAATAATAGTAATTTCTAATTTTACTTTATAGAATATTTAGACGTTATTAGACGTTTATATAAAGTTTATATTAATATTTAATAATATAACGCTTTAAGTTAATTCTTTAATATACTCGCGTTATCGAGTATCTTTTAATAAAAACTTATATCTAAATTAATTCTTTTAATAGATTTATCGATCTTATTATATCTATTACTATAATAGATTAAAAGTAATAATATATATTAGAGCTAGAAGTAATAATATAGCGTATTATTCTTAATATAACTAATATTATAGCTAATAATATAACTATTATAAAAGAAAGAATAAATATTAGAATAGCTAAAGTTAAATTAAGATCTTAGTTATCTACTTAATCTATTACTTAATTAATTACTTAGTTAATATCTATCTCGCTAGCTTAATAAGCTATTTATTTAACTACTTAACTAGAGTACTTATATTATTATAGTAAGCTTCTATAATTATATATATATATAAATTATCTACGTTTATATCTATTAAGAAGATATCTTAATTAGAAGATATCTTAATAAGAATCTTAGCTTGATATTATAAGTAGTTACTTCTAAGTAGAAGAATAATTATCTTTACTATATACTACTTATTATATCTATATTTTTATATTACTCTTATAATAATAGATATTAAAGTTTACTTCTTATTAATTAAATCTAAAATAATTTTAAATTAATTAATCTCTTAGAAACTTATTATTAATATAACTTTTCTTTTTTCTATTAAATTTTTTTAATTTTCTTTTTAAATTATAAATTATAGTTTACGCTTTTAAATAAGAAAAGAATTATTAAAATTTAGTCTTATAAATATTTAAAGATAAGAAATTTTAATATCGTTTATTAAAAACTTATTTACTTTATTTAAAATACTCTTTAATATAAGCTTAAATAGTCGAATAGTAATAATTTTAATAAAATTTAAAACTATTCTACTCCGTTCTCGATTTAAATCCATTAATCTCCCTCGCTAAATAAATTTCAAAATTTCAAAATTCTAAAATTCTAATAATTATAAAATCGTAATAATCGTAAAAATTATAATATTAATAATTAATTTAAAAATACTATATTAGATATTAAAATTAACTCTTTAAAGACTTATTATTAATATAATTTCTCTTTTTTCTATTAATATTTTACTATTATTTTAATTAATTATAGAACTTATTTTATACTTTCTAATAATTTAAGATTTATAAATTTTAATCTTATAGTTCTAAGTAAATCTTAAATTAAAGTATTTTCACTCATCGAGAGTCGAATTTAATCTCGAAATTAGATATAAAAATAAATTACTTTTTATAAATTTAATTCATAGGCCTAAACTTGTAAATATATAATATTTTAATAAAAAATTATCTCTCTTTATACTTAAGAGAGAGTTTAATTAAATTTTATCTTTTATATACTTATCGCGATTATCTTAATTATTCTCTATTATATTTATAATATAATATCTTCTATTAAAAATATTAATTAAGATTAAATATAAGATTATTTATAATTTCGCTTCGCTCGCTTATTAAATCTAATTAAAACTTCTTTATAAAATTATCTTATTTTTATAAATATAGAGAGTTATTATCCTTTAATCGCTGAATAATTCTTTTATATATATTAATATATTAAGTATATGATATTATATTATAAGTATAGATATCATATTTTAGTTATAAAGTTAATTAATTCTTCTAAGAAAATCTACGACTAAAAGATATCGTGTATTAAGCTCGCTAAGTCTTAATATCTTAAATAGATAAAGATCTTCACCTTAGATAGACTATAATATCTTCCCCTCTCGAAAGAAAGCTCGTTTCGAGCGTTAGAGAAAAGTTTATAAAAACTATTAAAGAATTTATATCTCGAGCGCTAGAGAAAAGTCTATAAAAATTATTAAAGAATTTATATATTAGCGTAATTTAATAATAATATTAAAAAATTTATTCGCTTAGATATAATCTCTTAGACTTATTTATTCTTCGAGTATAGATATAATATTAAAATTCTACTTCTTATATTAAAAGATTCACGATTCTAGACTTAAAAATTTCGCCGCGAGAGTTCTAATAACGTCGTCGCTTTTCTAAAAAAAACGACGTTAATATTCTATTTAATCTAATTCTTATCTTTTATAATTATTATTATCTTTAATTTCGAGAATTTATTCTTTAAAACTACTATAACGTTATTTTAATATAAATTAAAAATTATTAAGACTTAAATTTTATAATTAATAAAGTCTCTAATAAATAATAAATTGATAATAATAGTAGATAGCTTAGCGACTTATTTAAATAATCTAGTCTCTATACTTCTTAACTCTATTAATATTTTATTCTTAAGATATCTAACTCTTAAAGAGTCTATTAATAATATTAATAGCTATATAATAAGAAATAAGATAGTAATTAATAAAGCTTATTTAAAAGAACTTAGTATTAAGATCTTAATTAATATATTAATAAAATATAAAGCTAGTTTAGATAGTATTAAGAGAGACTATAACTTCTTAAGTCTTTATCTTTTATTTAAAAAAAGATTATCTAGAATATCTTAATCTTTTAAGATTCTATAATTATTTAAATAAACATTTTCTAGATAATAGATTTTTTTTTAATATTCTTAATTAATTTATTAGAGTATAATCTATTTTATATACTCTTTTAAATAATAATAGCGATCTTTTATATAAGTTCTATGTATTCTTTAAGATTTCTATATAATTAATATATATTTTATATAATAAAGTATCTAATATTATTCTTATCTTTTTATATAATTAATATTTTTTAAAATATAAAGTTTTCAGCTAGCTATTCTTTTAAATTAAAATTAAACTTTTAAAGTTTAAATCTATTTTTAATATATAAATTTATAATATAAAACTTTTAATAAAATTATAAAGATTTTATAATAAAAAAGAAATTTCTTTTTAATAACGTTATTAGTAATATTAATAATAATCTAAATATAAAATCTATTAATAATAAGTTACTTTAACTTTTTAATATAATTAATTTAAAACTATAATATAATATTTTTAAACTTCTCTCTATTATTTAAACTATTAAAAATCTAGCGATTTATTAATCTATTAAAATCTTAATAAATAATAAAAATATCTTTATTCTTTATATCGACTATTAGAATTTTAAATCTCTTAAAAATAACGAAAATTATATTAGATAAATAATTTAAAATTTATAATATTAAGATTAGCGGATTAAAAGTTAATAAATAATTTAATATTAATATTAATAAATTAGAGATAGAGATTAATAAATAACTTAATATTAATTCTAGAAAATTAGAGATTAATAAATAATATAATACTTATAACGTTAATACTATAAAATAAAAAATTAATAAAAAATATAATTTAAAGTTACTTTACTTTTAACTTTAATTAATATTTAATAATTTCTCTAAATTATAATAGACGTATTAGAATACTTTATTTATATTTTTATAAATAATTTATTAAAAACTCTAAAGATTAATATAGTTAAAAGCGATTTTTAAAGTAATCTTAAATACTTATCTAAAATAGCTTAAATTCTAATCTATTTTAGAAATTATAACTAATAATACTTTATATTAAATCTTTAAATAATTATTTAAATTTAAAAATAAGAAATTTTTATCTTTATCTTATAGGCTAAAACTCCTTTTATAATTTTATAAATAATAAACATAAAAAGCTTCTAAAAAAATTTAAGATTTTAATATTTTCGCGTAAATCTTAATTTAAATTAATCGAAAAGTATTAAATAAAGAATAATTATTATGATTAAAAGTATAAATAAGTAAAGAGATAAAAAAAAAAGCGACTAATATCTTTCTTTACTTAATATAGATTTTTATTAAAATTTAAAAATTTAATAACGTTATCGATAATTAGCTAAGAAACTTTATTTATAATATAATAAAGTATTTCTTAAATTAATAATTATAGAATATTTTAAATTAAAAAATAGAGATATCGATTATTTAGTACTATAAAGATTCTATTATAAAGTTTAAAAGAATTTTTAAATTTAGATTTAGCGATATAATCGAGAAATATTATATTACTATATTATAAAATTAATATTAAATAATCTTTAAAATTATTTATATAAAAAATAGTAATTATAATATTTTTTTTAAGTATTAGAGAGTATAAAAATATTAAAAAGATATTTTTAAATTTCTTACTAGGTAAGTTTTAGATAATAATAATCTATAATAAAGAAACGCTAAATGTAATTACTATCTACTTTAATTCGAGATCAATTTATTAAATAAAAATTAATCTTTTATTTAGAAATATCGTTATATCTATATTTTAGTTTTTAATAAATAATTTTATCGAAAAATCGCGAAAATACCGCTACTTTAATAATAATATCTATTTTTAAAAAATTTATATATTAAATAAAGTA